ATGGCCTCTCCTCCCACTTGAACCTAAACAAAGAGGAAAACGGATCATGGCGAAGGCAGGCAAAATCTACCCCCATCACAGGGGCCTTTGAGTGTCTCTGCGGAGATGATGGAAAGTGGCTGCTTTTAAAAACACATATTCTATGGCTTTTGGAAGGAGAAAAACCCAGATTGCAGAAAGAATGCTCAAAGCCAAGGGCGCACTTTCGATTCCATCTCATTCAGTTGGCCTAAGATCTTGCTGATCTGCACGTTTCTGCATGGAAGCAGGGAAGACGCCAAATTTCCGAGCTCCAGGAAAGCTGCTGTGGGTACATTTCCAACACGAAACCGTCACTAGAAGCACCTCCAGCATGAGGAACATCTAGCGGCTGAACGAATGTTTTTTGTCCCAGACACCACGACAGGAAATCCAAAGCTGCCTTGCCTTTTCGTAGCGAAGCTGCCTGGGTTCGGAGGGCTCGGAGGAGAAACACGGATCTGATGTCGCTAAATGCACCGTTTTTGCTTCTGCCCCCTCGTTCCCGCCATCACGGCTGGGCCTGTCTCTCCCGCTTGCTTGCAAATGATGCGGTTGCAAACGATGTGACGGTGGAAGGTATGCCGGAAACAATGGCTACAGATCGATCGGGTCCCTGGGTTTGAGTCCCCGTGTCCCTCTTGCTTAAGCTGTGGAATCCTGGGCACGTCTCTGTCTTCCTGAGCCTACTATGGGGGCGTGGGCATGAGCTGTGAATCCTGTCAAAATAGGCATGAAAGGCTTTGCGAACCTAACTCTAGGGGCTCTCAATCTGAGGTCTGGGGATGGGCTTTTAAAGATCTTCAGAGCCCTGGAGTTTTATGCCTCATAAATGCAGAGAAAAAGCACTGGAGGGAAGCCCGCCAGACTGTCCAAGATGCTAACTTCCTATAAGGGGAGAGAGATTGGAGGAAGGAGAGGGAGTCTCCACATCGTCCCTCCTATGTATCAGGATCACCTGGATTTATTATTCTGAGGATGTTTTTATATCTTACTTGTAGAAATAAGTTGGCTTTTTTAAAGCAAAGAAAATGCCTGCAAAACTGCTCATGTGGATGGATATCTGCATCTTAGTGGGCATTTGGTCCATGAATTCACCCAGGGGATACAAGGGTTAGAGACCTCTGAGTGTTCATGGAGGAAATCCCTGGGTTCACGTGCCTGCCTTCCCCACCCTGCCCCAGGCTGCCTCCACTGGTGGCTTGGCCGAGTCACAGCTCCTGTCCCTACAGCGTGTCTTCGGGTTCTGGGAATTGCTTCCTGCCCTCTGTGCTTCAGACCTGGGCAGTCACCTGTGTCCCGTCACTGGTCCTGGGCCCTGCGCTATCCTTCATGGTTTCCCTATACCCTGCCCACACCTTTGAAACAGTCCCCTTATTAAACTCTCCTCACATTACCCATTCTGCATGCGCCATCTGTTTCCTGCTGGGACCCTGACTGCTACAGTATTTTTAATCTGTCTTTGTACCATCTCCCCCCCATATATGCAAACACTCTCAAATACATTCACCAACACCCTCACACACACACACACACACACACTCCCCACTCAGGCACACGCCACACTTACACACTCACCCACAGACTCACATTGGTCCCCTAACAAACACACCTGCTCGCTCAAAGACACAATACTTGCAATCATATGTACCACTGCCTGATCCCGGCGCCTTGGGGGAGGTCGGTCCCTGGTTAAAATCCTGCTCCAGCAAATGGAGGGCCTCCCTGTGAGGCGAGAACCTGGCCCTTGTCTACACCCCCTACCCCTGGGGTCCCGGTGACTCTCGCCAGTTCTTATTTTTCAGAAATGCTGTCCTTTGCCCACTACTAATCTGTCGGACCCACCCATGCCACACTCTCAATGGGCTTGGAAGGAGGCTTCAGAAAAGTACCGAATTAAAGTGGCTCCTGGAGAATTAGCCGTACGGAATAGATAGAGGAGTAAAAACAAAACGTTTCCACCAAGTTTCAGGGAGGGACAGATGGCAGTTTCAGGAGATCACACAAATAAAGATTAATTTAGGTGGACGGCACCGGGTAATCTGGGTGGAAGTTGAAGGGACTCACATTCTGACTCAACACAAGGTCACCTTTCCAATCACTGGAGCTGTCAATGAGGGACCAGCCATCTTGCAAAGGGGGGCCCATGTCTGGGGCCATGTCACAGTGAGACTGATGTAGCTAGAACTATAGCTACATGTACATGTAGCTGACCTCGAAGGCTCCTCAGGATACCCTTGTAACCCTGGGCAAGTCACATCCTCTCTGAACTTTCCACATCCTCAGCGGTGAACCGGTCACCTCAGCCTAGGGGTACCCCAGGGGTCCTCAGTGGCTGCAAATTCTCTAAATCTCTGATCCTCCGGGCCAAGAGCTGTAAGAAGCAAGGTGGAGGGGGCGCATTTGGAAAGGAGCTGCAGAAGTAATTAGTGATGGAAATGAGAATCTGTACTGCCTCTTGCCTGAATGTGCAGATTAAAACAAGGCTGACTCTTGGCGAATGACTGCATTTCCTCCAGAGCAAATGGCAACAGTAGGACGTTCGAAAAACTCTGGCCTCTGATAGAGAGGGAGCAGCAGACAAATTTGTTTGGGGGACAGAAAGCCAGACCCTGAATTGTGCCTCCAGCTGCTGCTAGTCCTCTAGCCTCTGTGGACCGCAGGTCCTTCGTTTTTAAGCAACGAAAGTATCAACCAAATGGGCTTTTTTTTTTGGAGGATTCACAAATGTGAATGTCCCTAGCCTTCCTGGCTGCGTGGAAATCATCCAGGAAAATGTGTTTGTGTCCAGGCTCCCACGCCTACTGGCTGTGTGACTTGGGGAAACTTGTTTCATTCCGCCAAGTCTTTGTTTTCTCGTCTGTGAAATGGGGGGATTGTGGCATCTGCTTCACAGAGCCGGTAAGGAACAACATGCCTAAGCACACGAAACCCTCGGCGCCCAGGGTGATGAGTACGGTGCCCACAGATCAGGAGATTTGTGGGATCGGAAGTTCTACCGTTATCAGACAGAGCAGTGCCAAACCTGGCTGTGACCTTTATTCTCTGTGGCCTCCCCAACGTGGGCACTTAGCTCAGCCTCGGGGCTCCATGCGGTGCCAGTGGCTTGAAGGCAATGCGAGGGTGGTGGGTGGGCACCCAGGGGAGGGACCTTAGGGGGCTTGGGAGGAGCCCTCTTCTCGTCACGGCTGCCAGATAGCCCCTCATGCCAGCGCTCTGGAAATTCTTTTAAACTATGGCGGGGGGGTGGTCAAAACGAGCAGGTTTGCCCCTTCCTGCTCTGGCCTGGGGGTCTTTGGTGAAGGGGTTAGTTTTCTGGGTCCACATCTCTCCGACAGCTTCCCATGAGCCCCTGGTGGTTAGGCTTAGGGGTCCTCGGATCTGTCTGCCCAAATACAGCCTAAGTTGTTTAGGACCAAGTCCACCTCTCATTTTGCTGTGTGGGGTGGGGCAGAGGGGGATCCGGGAAGGGGAGTCGGGGTGGAGGGGCAGCTGAAGCCCAAGATTGAGAACTGGAGGTGGAGGACCCCACACTGTAGCTTCTTTAGATCAAAGAGCCTCTTCTAAATCTGTGTGGCACCCGTAGTTGGGGGCTTCACCATAGTTAACATTCTTCCTACGTTCTCCTGCCAAGTAAGTTATTTGGGAAATTGAAGAATTCCCACTGGCCACAGGGAAGTTATGAAGATGAAAACTTTGCATTTGAGATCCTGAGACTTTTATTAATATGTTGCTATTTTAAGACACCATACAAATATCCTTTGTATTGATTTCTCTGTGATGTACCCACTGAGTAAATATGCCAATTTCTGCCAGGGAGCCGAACAGTATTTTTAACCTACTTTAAAATATGTGTTGTTTCCTATGGTTTTTTAAAGTTTGGAGTTGATTATGAAAGCACTTTCAAATTTTAAAAAATTCTCCTCTCCGGAGACTATACATATATATTTTAAACTATTAAATATAAAGTGTAATGGGATGTAGTTTTACATATACTTTTAGAACTACAAATAAAGGTAAGAAAAAGGTAAAATGATTATTTTTTTGCTTCCGTCTGCCGTTCTGTTGGAAAACATCACTACCACCTAGAAAGTTTGAGTACTAATTCTTTGATTGTGTAACTGAAACCTATTCTTACGTGTACTTTATCCCCCTGATCCCTGCCTATTTACCCAACGTCCCCTGTTTAGTGTATAGCACCATTGTACATCCTCAAAGCCCTCCCAGAAATCTCAGGGTCTTGGAAAATAGAGGGCAAAACAGAACAGAGGGCTGAAGCTTTTCACACATTGGCCGATAGGATCTTCAAGATAACGATCCTATTGCCGTTTCCTAGACAGGGGACATTAGGATAGGAGAAGGTCAAGGGCTGGTCAGCTTCAACTGGTTCCAGACAGTTAACCCTGGGTTTTCTCTTCCTTTTCTTCAAAGCAAGGTTGATGGGAGGGGCCGTCAGGGAAAATTCCTTATGGCTCAAGGCCATTGGAGATCGAAACTAGATGATATTGAAAGATTGGCTTGAGCTCTTGCTTGGAACGGCATGGAAGCACTCATGACCATGGTAGTTGCGATTTGTGACTCAGATAGAACTTCCTGGTTATGAACAGAAAGACAAACTTTCCATCTTGTAAACTGATCCCACTATAGCCCTTGCTTTGTGGATCAAGAAGCCTTAGATAATGCAGGTACCGGAGAAGGGCTGCCAGGGCATTCCTTGGGCACATGACGGCTTTCGAGCCGGAGCTAAGAAAGGCTCAGAATCACAGCCCACGCTCTACTGGGAGACCTTGGTCACGTGCCCTGCCTGCGGACCTGGCCTATCCGTCTCCTGGCAGTGACAGAAAGCACTTCCTGACTTTGAGCCAACACCTGATGGGGGTGCGTGGGGCCTTTTCTTCCCCATGTGCACGGCTGCTGGAGGTGTGACTTTTCAGGACAGCTCCTGCCTCCTCCTCCCAAGGCCCCAGGAAACCGGGGATTACCTGAAGTTGTAGCCTGGGGAGACGCTGTTCTTCTCAGAAACGCTGTCAAGCCGGGTGAAGGAGTATTTGGGGATGCACTGGTCCCAGGCCCTGTCCAGGTCGCACACCCAGCCGATCTTAATGCCAAGGACTCCACCCTGTGGGAAGGGTCCAACTATGAGGAGGGCTGTCTCCACCGCCTGCCAGGGTGGGGGCTGGGGGTCGTGACACACAGACGCGTGGTTCTTCCCATTCTCTACGTGGAGGGGAAGCGATTTGGCAGACATTCCTTAGTAAACAACATACGGCAGTCAGGGGTGTGGACCTTTGGGGCTCTAGATCCTGCTTTTGTCCTGCGTCCCTTAGCAGCAATCTAGGATTCACTTTCCCATTGTACGGGCTTTTTCAGCGCTCTAAGGTCAAGTGTGACGGTGGGAACGGGAGACCAGGCTTGGCGGGAAGGGTGAGGGAGGCAGGCCCTCCGGACAGGGCGGGGAGCACACGGTGAGGCCCGCGCCAGTTGCAGGTCTGGAGTGCTTCCACTAGGTGGTGCTGCTGCCCGGCCGCTGCTCTGCCCTCCGGGTATTTCCACCCTCCACCTGCCAAAGGGGACCCCGGTCTTTGGTTAGGTCCTCACCGTGCTGGCCAGTTTGGCAAAATCCTGCCCTGCAAACTTGACCACATCCCCCACCCGCAAGATGGGGCAGAAGGGGTCCTTGTCAGGGTGGAAGCGGCATGTCTTCATGTCGCTGGCTGTCAGGTTGGGAAGGAGGTTTCCCCTGCGGAGGAGAGAAACAAGGCCAGGGCTGGCGGGAAGACAGGCACCGCACAGGTCTCTAGCCTTCCCGCCTGGGCAGCGCGCTCTGGGACCTGACGTCTGGGACGATCGCGGGCTCTGTCACCTCTGTTCCTGCATCTTCCCCGCAACTTCTATCCCCCTCTCTCCATATCAGGGTTGAGTGTGTTGGTATCTAATACCCCCAGCTCCTAGGCTGGGAGTCCCAGGGGGTAAGAGTCACACCCGAGTTCTCTCAGCACCTCTGTGGTGCCTGGCATTGTGCTTTGCCCACGCCTGATGCCCACCGAGGACTTGCGTGTGAAGGAGTCAATGAACTCCTAACTAACTAGTGGCAAAGGGACACCCGTGCTTGGGCTTGATGTGGGAGGAAAAAAGAAAGCCCTCGGCCCCGACCTTTGGAGGTATCCGGGTTCCAGGCCCAGGCTGAACTTGTGCCTCACCTGCCTTCAGCAGAACTCCCGTCTGTGGGTTCCGAGCCCCAAGGCGGGAGGCTGGCTGAGAGGTTGGCCCCAGAGCCCACCTAGTACTGGGTGGTCAAGGCCAGGTGGGAGATTGGGAATAGGAGCCCCAGGGAGATGGGCAGAGGGTGAGCAAGTGTGGGGAGCCATGTGGACAGGATTCTCCACCCTCTGAAACTGAGCTGGCAGGGTGGGATGGGTGCCCCGCTTTCTTCTTTAGGGAGGGAGCTGGGACTCACTTCTCAAAGTTGAAGAGGGGGAATCGAATGCTGTTCTTGATGAAAATAGTGAAGTTCTCCGCTTCCATCATGACAGGCCTGTGGGGGAGAGCAAGAGAGTCTTAGCTTTTGGGGACGAGGAAAGGGAAAAGAAACGTAGGGCTTTTGCCCCAGGGACCACCTTTCCTGGTGGACGTTTCCCACCAGGCACCTGGTTATGGCCTCTCTGGGGCCTGAGGGCCAGGGGGGAGGAGAGTGGCAGGTGAGGTAGGGAAAGGTGCCATCCTGAGGCCACTTCCCAGCCCAGGAGTGGACACTACTAGGGGTTCCTCTGAGACTCTCTGCAGGCTCAGAGATGCAGAGCTCTCCCTATTGGCAAAGGAGAGCTGGGGCAGGGTCCTCACATTTCCACTGTGTCCACCTCGGTGGGGCACCAGCCCTGGATCTCACAGGTCCGGAGCACAGAGCTGTAGTTCACACACCGGCCCGTAAGGATACCTGAGAGGGGGAGCCACGTATGCTGGGTGCCTGCTTGGACCTTTGCTTCTCCCTCATCCCCGCCCCACCCCTCATCAGGGACCACCCCCTGTTCAGGGATCCCACAGGGGAGGGGACAAACAGGGAGGGCAGGGGAGGTGGACCTGTGGTACAGGAACCCTGTTGAGCTCTCGTCTTTTGCTCCTCCCAACCCCTAGACTAAGCCAAAGGGAGGTGACAGCCTCCAGACCCAGCCACCCCAAAGGCCCTGTTCTTGTTCCCGGGGCACAGTGTACTCCTCCTGGCCTCCAAGTCTTTGCTGTAGCTATTCTTTCTGCCTAGAATGTCCTTTTAAAAGCCCTTCTATCCTGCCAACTTCTTGTCATCCTTTAGGGCCCATCTAAAACATTGCTGACTCTAGGAAGTCATGTGGGGTCCCCTACCTAGAACCAATCCCTCTCCCTTCCCCAGTGCCCATGGTTCCCCCATGATAGCACTTGCTCCCTCATGCATGCCTGTCTGTCACCACCATCCCTGGGCTGCGAGCTTCTCCAGGGGCAGCCCCCCATGTCTGGCACACAGGGAGTGCCTTAAGTGCTGGAAGAATGACAAGGAACAGGCCAGCTCCCGCTCTGTCCGCCATGGGGGTTATGCTACCTTCCAGGGTCCCACTAACACCCTGGGGCTGTGAGGGGGTGGAGAAGGGCTGCACTCACCCCCGCCTGGGAACCGCTGAGGCCCACACTGGCTGTCTGATACACAGTGGTACTTCTCCTCGCTCTGTGGGGAGACAGGTCTGCAGGTGGGTGTGGGACCCTGCGCTGGCCCTGGATGAGCCCTTTGGCTCCCAGTGCTTCCCAGTAACCAGGGACCTTTGGAAGGCGGAGATCTTGAGACCCAGCTCCAAGGCTGGAACTCCAGCCTCTGTGTGCACCCACGCCCCTCCCTACCACCGCTCCCCACCCACAGTGGTTTCTTTTTGCCTTGCTTCATCCAGCCTCCCTCCCTCCCCTCACCTCTGGGCAGAATCCTTGCATCTGGTTTTCAGTGACTATCATCTTGGTGATGATGACAAAGACAGAGGTGCCCTTGGTAGGAGAAGGGAGAGAAAAAAATGCACCAGTACCAATCTATGAGGTGGGTACTGCTGTTATCCCCATTCTACAGGTAGGGAAACTAAGGTGGAGGGTAAGAGATCTGGCCAAGGTCACAGGGCTAATAAAGGGCAGAGGTGGGCTCAAGTCAAGTCCAACCACCCACCTTGCTTCTCCTGCTCCTCTCTGTGTTGTGTTGATCACAGGATGAGTGTGGCAGAGCCTGAGAAGGACCCCACTGTCCTGATGCCTAGTGCTGCACTCTGGAGGGCAGCCCTCCCCCCGGCCACTGGGGAGGGGTTTCACTGATCACTGATACCACTGGTTTGGGGAATCCCATCGACACCCTCCTTGCATTGCCCCATCATTGGACATCCACACGTAGCCCTGGGATGGGGGACCATACCTGGGGTGGGGTCACATAATCAGACACGTCCATGACTCTGTTGGCATAGCGTCCAAAGCCCTTCACCTTGGTAACGACTGAGGACTCAATGGCTGTGTCCCGCACTTGGTAAGCCTTCTCGTGCAAGAAAACCCACCTGGGCAGGAGAATAAGGGGATAGCAAGAGAGGAGGGTCTAGGACCATCAGACAGAGGCTGGGAAAAGTTTCCTTCCCCAACACTAGACCACATGGGGTGTCTGGCCTGGGGAAGGCCTGTGCTGGAGGTGAGAGGCCTTGCCCTGGGTTGGCTTAGAGTGGTATGTTCCCATCTTTCCCTTTTCCTGCTTCAGGACCATTTGTAGACTTTTTTCCCTACCTCTCCCCTCCCCCAACCTGAAATTTTAATACTACAGATATCAGCTTATGTGCTGTATGTGTATTTATTTGTGTTTTACACATAAGAAGAGTACGATTTTTTTAATCCCTCAAGAACAAATTTTCACCCCCTTGAGGGCGACATCACCCCTTTGTCAATTCATCATCATTCCCGCAGACTGGGAGGCTGCCTCTTTGGCAGACAACTGGAAAGAGAAGGAGCAGAGGGTCTTAAGCCTCTGACCCAGAGCATTCCAGGCTTTGCTCATGGGTATATCCTAAGTGCCGGCACATAGTAGGTGTTCAGTAAACAAGTCGCTGAAGGCATTTGGGAGCTGGGTGCTTGGAGATGTCTCCCTCTGTGCAGGCGCCAGAAGAGAAGGGTGGAGGAGAAGGGAGGGGCTGAGCCTTTCCCGGGCAGGTAGGAGGCAGAGGCTGCAAATCTTATTCCTTGGAGCGTGCTGCCACCCAGTGGACATTTACCTGTACTGCCTTCTTCCCGCGGCCAGAATCTGGGAGGGTCTCTCTTCTTCCTTCCACCGGCACCTCCCTCCCTGGACTAGGGCAGCCTTCCCCAGCAGCAAGAAGAGCCTACAGGCAACTCTTCCCTTTGCAGTTCTGTGAGAGGCCTGCCTTTCTCATCACAGCCCTCAAGGCTCCAGCCGCTCTCCGCCTCCATAGCAGGCTTCCAGCCCGTGACCAGTCCTATCCGTTCCAGACAGCACGCTGGCAGGCAGATGCTCTTGCTGTCCCCATTGTACAGACGAGAAAGGTCATATGAGTTCAGAACATGCCGCACACAGTCTTAGTTTTGGAGAAACACTGGTGACCTCTTCTAGAATCGGGGAGTGTGCTTTTGGAAATGCTGGACAAGGGTCATTTTCTGCCTGCTAACCAGGAAGGCACAGGAAGGTTGAGGATGGTGGGAGGAAGGAACCAGAGACTGTGTAGTGCAGAGAACACAAAGCTGGGCACGTGCTGTGCTGGGAAGCTGACCTGAGGACTTTATAAGGAGGGAGTTGGGACTACAAGCCCAGGAGTTTTCCAACCCCAGAAAGTTGTCCAAGAGCAGACGGTTTTGGGAGTGGTGAGTTCCACATGCCTGGGAAGACTCAAGGAGATGCATTCAGTTGGGAGGTGTTTGGATTGGATGACCTCTGAGGTCCTCATAGAGGGGAACAGCTCCTGGGTTATGCTGGTGGTCACAGTGACCTGTGGGATGGGCACATGCCCATCAAGTTCACGTGCACACAGGCTGGTATTTGCAAGAGACTCTTTGTTCAGTTTTCAGTGAGAGGGCTGGGAGTTATCCCCATCATGGGGCTTCCCTCCTGCGCTTGAATTCCAAAAGCTCCCTTGAGTGGGACTGAAAGGGTGGAGTCACAGCCGGCGGTGGCGGACAGACAACTCCTAACCTGTCCCCTGTTTTATTGTTGCTGCCTTATAGCAGACAGTGTCCTGAGGAATGCACCATTCAGAGGGGGCACAGGCTTGTAGAAGGCTCTTAGGAGCACCCTGCCTGAGGGGAGGCGTGGACGTTTGTGATCCTGTGTGCTTTCCTTTCCCAGCACTTTTCTTCTTTCTTTTTTAGAAGAGGAGAGTTTTCATCAAGTCTCATAAGGAAGTTTGGGTCACATAGAAATCTCATCCACCATCTTATGTCCAAATGAGTATTTTCAGCTCACAGCCAGGGGCCCTGCACCGTGGAGGGAGCGAGGCTGAGGACCCAGATCTCCCTGCTCCCAGCTCAGTGCACCTCTGTCCGGAGTTGGAGTTGAAACATGCCCTCTGGAACCTCAGTGTGCCTGGCCACAGAATAGACACATCTCTGAGCAGTGATCTAATGACACGGTTTCTTAAGGCCCCTTACCCTATTCTTAAAGTCCAGGAACATTTGCCAATGAGAAGCAGGGTTCAGATTATTATCATCTAACCAAAACATCCCGCTTGAGTGCTCTGTGTGGTTAAGGGTTCATTGGGTCCTTATCCCGACCCAGTGAGACTCCTTTGTTGTTCTCCTTATATTACAGATAAGGAAACAGAGGCGCGGAGTGCTGTGCTAACTTGCCAAGCCGGTAGGTGGGTTCCCACCCAGGCAGACTGCTCAGAACCACCTCACATCCTGAATGGGATCCTGGTCCCTGTGCGGCTGGCCCTGCTGGTCCCGAGGGGAACATCTGCAGCCTTGGGAAAGTCTTAGGAGGAAAGGCCCTAGGGCTCGAAGAACCTCTTTCCTCCCATTTCTCCTCCTTCAAGGCTCTTTCTTATGCCAGGGGGTAGGAGAGGCCACATCAGAGTTCTCTCTCTGAGTTAAATAATAACTGGAAGAATTTCTGTGGCCCCTTGGGGCCCAAGGACGTCATCAGTGCAGCTTAAAATAAGGGGATGCTTCATTTCCAGAACAGAGGGGCTGAGTCTGTCTCTAGAGGCCAGGGCTGAGGAGATGGGGCAGGACTAAGCCTTCAATTCTTGGCATTTACTCGGCTGCTCTGACTTATTTTTTTTCTCATGTTCCTGGTTTATTATTTATAGAGCGGAAGGCGGGTGGCAGCTCCTTGGCAGGTGGGATGTGCAGGAAGGAGGCCAGAGCAGCGTCCTGGCACCCTTCTGTCCACCCCCATGGAGTCAGGGAGGAGCCCGGGGAGTGGGCGTGGGGAGTATGTACTGTGGGAGCCAGGAGGAGAGGGGTCTCTTGGAAAGGTGTGAGCTGGGTGGTGGGGAAGGGGGAGGTGTGCCGGGGAATCTAGGATATGGTGATAGTTGCCATCTATTAGTGAGTCTCCCATTTCAGGCAAGGCACTTGACATGTTCTCCTTGCCATAACTCCCTGGGGTAGGCATTCCTAAACCCATTTTCCAGATACTTAGAGACCTAGAGATGGATGGTGACCTGTCCAAGCCCCACTCCTATTAGTGTCACAGCGAGGTTTCTAACCAGAGGGTCCTGTTCCACAGTCTCCCCATCATGGGGTTGCAGAGAGGTGTGGTGGGGGAAAGAGTGGCGCTCCTCTCTGCACCTATAAGACGGGGGTTCCAACAGGTCTTCCCACCATCCTCTCATCACCTGGTGTCCCACGGGGTGCCTCAGGGTGCCACCCTGGGCTGAAACGATGGGGTGGGGGGCCAAGAAGGTGGAATTCCAGGCCCTTCTCTTTAAACTAGAACAGCTCCCCTGTTTAAGCACTGTATTTGTTGAGCTTCTTCATAAGAGTCAAAGCGAGGCTTGAGGCACTGAGGTGGCTCTGTCAGTTGGGCATCTGACTCTAGATTTCGGCTCAGGTTGTGCTCTCAGGGTCGGGGGGGTTGAGTCCTGCATCAGGCTGCATGCTCAGCATGGAGTCTGCTTGTCCCTCTCCCTCTAGTCCTCTCCCCGCTCTCTCTCTCTGACCCCCCACTTTCAAATAAATAAATAAATAAATAAAATCTTACAAAAAAGAATCGAAATGAGGCTGGCTATTATGAACCACATGGGCCAGCTGTGCAAATAGTGAGTCTGTGGATCAGGCCTTGCAGGGGGAGGAAGGGATGGGGAAAGCAGGGCTGTGAGGGGTCTGAGGCACCATCAGCTGCCACAGGTGCTTCTGATGATGGAGCATCAGATGGGAGGGAATGCCCCTCTGCCGGTTTGCAGCGAGGTGGCTTCCTTCCAGAAGGCTCTGCAAACTAGCTCAGGCCGTGCAACAGCAGTTTCGGGGAAACTCAGTCCCCAGGATCTCCTGTGTCCTCTGCTGCTCCCCATAGGACCCCCTTAAGAGACTGGCTCTTAGGAAGTTCCATCACACAGAGGAGACTGGGGATTGCCACTGGGCCCTGGGAAAGCCATGGGAGAAACACCACTGGCCTCTCTGTGCACCTGGGTGGGTAGGGGACACCAGGCATGAAGTGGTGTCAACTCCAGACAGGCAGCAGAGGCAGGTGCAGGGGTGAGAGCACATGTGGAGACAACGAGCGGCCGCGGTGCGGTCCATGCATAAGAGACACAGTTGGCTCCTGTTACATGTGGCCGCCTAAGACTGCATCCGGTCTACCTCGCAGGGATACTATGGAAGAGATTCAACCATTAGTTAGTTGTTGACGTCACAGCATTAAAAATCCTCCAAATTCTACTGAGTCCAGGCCACCATTGTCTCTTTCAACATGACTACACCGCGCCGTTAACAGGTTATCCTCCTGCCTGCTCCAGTCCCTTGGTGAATTAGCCAGAGTGATTTTCCCAACTCAGATCTCATCGTCTGTCTCTCCCTGCCCCTGCCCCCAGACACACACACACACACACACACACACACACACACACTTCCCATCCACTGGCCCTGTGTAAAAACAAAAGCTCTGAGGGTGTCTGAGGTCTGGCTGGGTGTGACCCACCCCCATTTTACAACCACCCTTGCCTTTGCTCCCTCTGCTCTAGCCATAGAGATCTTCTTTTCTTGTCCCCATTTGCCTGGCTCTTTCCCTTTGCAGAGCTGGCTTGAACCCTTTTCCTTCCCTTTTTTCTCCTGGGTTGCTCTCACTCTTCAGATCTTGGCTTGGGCATCTTATCTCCAGAAAACCTTCTCTTGGCTCCTGGACCAGGTCAGGAATCTCCATACTAGCCGCTCTCCCAGCACTGTGCACCTCTTCTTCAAGTCTTGAGTCTCAGTTGAAATTTTACATTTGTTTGTGGAGATTGTTTGATTAACATCCGTCTCTTGCATCGTAAGCTCCATGAGGTTGAGGGCCCTCTCTGCTTTGCCCAAGTTCTATGCCTGGCATGAAGAAATGCTTTATAAATTTCTGCTAAATTAAAGACAATGGATTCATGGAGTCCTAATGGTGCATGGGCTCATGTGCTCACAGATGGGGCTCAGGCCGGGGGGCTGGGCCACAGACTGCATGGATGTAACTGGAAGGAGCTGCTCCATGGGGAGCTGTCAGGCTGAGAGATGGATGGGGTTGGATATCAAGACGCCAAAGAGCCTCTCATGCTTGTTTCTGCAGGCCAGGCTCCAGCACTGGGGGTCAGAGCATCAGATCATATCACGATGAGGGAGAGACGGGCAGTGGGAGAGTAGAGCAGGCTGGTCCAGGAGCTGTCTACCCTCTATCAGCTTTCTGCCTGGAGCCAGCAGAGCCAGGAATGTGCTGAGGCAGCTTTTGGACTCACCTCGACCACCATACTGTCTAGTGGCTATAAACAGCGACGGCATCACATACACATGTGAACGTGGAACATTTAAAAACCAGCTTTGAGCCAGCCTCTGCCGATGTGGACATGGAGCATTTGCAAACATCGTATCTCACAAAACCTCGAAGTTGGAAGTAAGCTTCAAGGCCGTTTTCCTACCACAAAGCTGGAATGCTTTCTCTAATATCCCTGAGAGGAGCACTGGACGTACAGCCTTGCCGACAGCAGCCACAGAAATGAGTCCTACTGGCTCCCACAAAGCACGCAAAGCAAAAAATCCCTAATCCACACGCCTGCCCACTCTTCCACACACTCGCTCATACACTCCTCTGACCTTTCAGGCAAGGAGGCCTGCGCTCGTGCAGCTCCAGCCCACATGCACACCGGATGGCTTCTTTGACTGACTCAATTAACTCATGACTGTTGTCAGTGGCTTGCTGTTTCTCATACACAGAGCCATTGTCTCAGGCAAGACAGAGACTGCACACCGGGAAAGAAAACCTCCAGGGGTTTCTGCCTGTCATCTCTGGTACCCACTGGTGTGTGTAAATGACCACAAGAAGGATGGAACCTGTGTTTTCTCCCCAGCCATTGTCTGCTCCCTGGCCCTTGGTGCATACACGTGTGTGTGGGGTGGTGGATGCCTCTAAAGGTGGGAGCTGAGAGGTTTTCGGACCACTAGCTCTTAAGCAGCTCCCAGGATGGGTTATATGGTATAAAGAATTTATGCTTTCTGACAAAGGGGAATGCTTCTGGATTCATGAGGAGGGACCCTGGATCATGTTCAGAAAACCCACCTTCCCCTAAGCAACTCTTCCCTTGAGTTATTTGTGCCCGTGTGTCTCCCCATCCCCTCCCAAGGAGCAGACACCTTGCTTTGTCCTACCCTCCAAGAGCAAGGGCTTCTCCTCTCGCCCCATTCTTTCATCATCTCCTCAAGCCAGAAGGGGAATCCCTCATTCCAAAGCAGTCCAGTTCTCTCCTTCCCACTCCACCATGACCTGATCGACCCATGCTGTCTCCCTCATGTTAGTGCCTTCCCTTCCCCTTTCCTGTGCTCCCTCATCTTTGTGAGGCCCCAAAGCTTTGGTTGAGGAGACTGGGAAGAGGTGAGGGTGGTTTGTTCTCTGGTGGGAGCAGGAAAGAAGGGAGAGGGGAGATGGTCACTTGGGACCTCTCCTGGTGGAGGCTGGCACCAGGGCAAGAATTCCACCCCTTGGGGTGTGTGCCTAGAAACCACTCTCTGACTCCAGAGGATTTACTGGGGAAAGGAACTAATCTGGGGACCAGATCCCTGATGGGGGTGGCAGAATACAGTCCTTGGACTACAGGGTAGAGACTGTTTCCTCAAAGAGAGGAGAGGGTCAGGCAGCTGCACAGCAACCCTGACGGGACACCCAGCAGCCCTCCCCTGCTAGGACCCAAAGGGCCCCAGGACTCACCCCACGAAGTAGGAGATGATCAAAAGCTGGACTGCCCGGTTGATGACCCCAATGGTCCAGCTCTTCACAACTACTGACTTGGTGGTCTCGTAGGTGAAGAAATCTGACACGCAGTTCATGCTGAGAGAGCACTCAGGGGTCACTCAGAAGGGACCCAATGGTGGCCTCAGGAGGGGGAGGTCCTCAGAACAGGGAGACAGAGATCAAAGCCTGGAGGGGACAGCTTGGAGGAGGCTTGAGGAATGGGGAGCCTGTTCTTTTAAGTCAGGCAACCCTTGCTCAGTGCCCAGGCTCTCTCTACCCTTGGCACTCTGGGCTGTCAGGAGTCCAAGGCCAGGGCGGGGGACCCCCTTTTTGTTCGTCTCCACCCCACTTCCCTGTGATGTCACGGCAGGGGTGGGGTCTCCAATCCCCGGCTCCTGATTGCCTGGGATGCAACTGGCTAGGGCCCTCTGGGAGTCATGTTTTATCTGCACTCTGTCTACCCTTTCTGTTCCGTTCTCCTATGCTGCATCTGCATCCCGGCTCACCAGCTGCTTTCGTGCTCCTAAAACCCTTTGCAATGCCCCGGCTTTGTTTTCCTGTGAGTTTACTTCCCTGAATCTTTCGTTTGATAACACGCTCCTGGAAGGCTGGGGCTGTTTCTGTCTTCTTTCCTAGTTTCCTCAAATCCTAGAATTGAGTGGGAGCTCAATCCGTAGTTACTGAATGCGGGTGAATGCACGTTACTGGACAGTGCAAGAAGAGCCAATTCCCAGAGGTTGAAGTCCTGAGGTCAGGGAGCAGCATAGTATTCCTGCCCTCTCTTATCCCAGGGCTCAGTTAGCAAGCGGGCGTAACTAAGTCAGATAGCCAGGGAAGTCTTGAATTTAAATATTCTGTCCTAGGGGCGCCTGGGTGGCTCAGTCAGTTAAGAATCTGCCTTTGGCTGGGGTCATGACCCCAGAGTCCTGGGGTGGAGCCCCGCCTGGGGCTCTCCGCTCTGTGGGAAGCCTCCGTCTCCCTCTGCCTCTGCTTGCCGCTTCCCCGCTTGTGCTCTCTCTGTCAAATAAAGAAATAAACTCTTAAAAAAAAAAAAATTCTGTTCTAATGTCTTCATGCAGGATAGGTACCATCCATCGTTCTGGATGTAGATCGCCGTGGTTAGGACAGAGGAGAACTGGGGCGGGGCGGCAAGGAGACTTGGGGCCCTGGGCACATCCTCTTTGGGCCTCGGCTTTCCCATCTGCAAAGGAAGGTTGGGGCGGACACACTCAAACACCTCTCCTGGGCGGGCCTCCAGGCCGCGCAGACGGGGTTTCGAATCCGGGCGGGCTCTGAGGGGACTGACTCGAGCGCGGGAATCTGACCCCGCCATCCGCCAGCTTCCTCCAGGCCTCCCCCACACCGCGTTTTCCGAAGTGAAGTGTTTGGGCGCCGGGGCAACTAGGACAGTCACCGTGACGCCGGCACCCTGGGTGCGGGCGGCTCATTTCTCTCCGCAGCGCGCAATGTTTGTCTTCTTGCCCCACAGACTCTTTTTTCTACCACTCCACAGGGGCCACCCCTGTGCAGGGCGGCTTGGGAGAGACACACACACGCGTCCGTGGGAAGCCCGACAAGAGAAAACTACAGAATTTCTCTGCAGAACCTAGTCCTCCACTGGAGAGGTGTAATCCCCCCACCCCCAGAGGTGTAATTTTGCAGCCCTCCACCCTCCCATCTTCTCATCAGGTGCCACGCGGTGCGAGTTGAATCACAGCTCCGCTTCCTTCAGGTCCTCCTGCGCGGTTGACGCTCTAGGAGGCCGCCTCGTAGGCGGGCCGGGCTCGTGTCTCTCTAGCCAGCTCACCCTCTCTATGGTCCGTGCACGGCTTCCGGTGGCGGGACGCGGGGCCGCGCACGCGGGAAAAGCTTCCCCAGCGTCCCCCCCATCCCCCTTGTCCCCGCCCCCCCTTCCCGCGTCCCCCAGAGCGCCCACCGCCCGCACCTGGGCCGTCGCGAGGCTGCAGCTTGAGGAGGTGGGTGGTCGCCGGCCCCGTGCCCCGAGAGGGCGCGGGCCCCGCTCCCCCCGCGGGATCCTCAAGATGGACCGTTCCGCGTTCGAATCCACGGGCAGCGGGCGAATCCATTTTAGGGGGCGGGGGAGCCGCAGGTCCAGGGCCGCGGCGCAGTGGGAGTGCTGGGAGGGAAGCTTTGCGCTCGGAGCTGGGTCGGGGCGCCGCTGAGGGTCAGGCCCCGGGGTTCTGCTGCCCGTTGCCATGGCGCCCGGTGGAGCGCCCCGAGCCGGTGTCGGGTCCCGCTGTAAGCGCTCTTCCAAGCCGGGTTCTCCAGCCCCTGCTGGGCCTGACTCCTTGAGGTCTGCAGGGCCCGCTGTAGGTTCCCAGGCAGAGGAGATTCTGAGACATCCCAGGTTCCGCCAGGGCATGCCACCTGGCTCCATCCGTGGGCCGAGTGAGATGTTGTCTTTGATGTTTGTCTAGCCCCCTCTTAAATTCAGATTCCCAACGTGCTGAGTGCCCGCACACCCACCCAGGAGTTGGGGCCCAGCTCCCGATCGAGGCCAACGGGGGCAGATCAGTATGGCGGAAACACTGGAGTTCAACGACGTCTATCAGGAGGTGAAAGGCTCCATGGTAAGAAGGACCTGGGCTATTAGTAAAGTCTGAGAGAGGGAAGGCGGAGTAGACCACTCATCCATTAGTAAGAGCTTGCTTTGATGATGTTGCTATTTTAGAAAAGGAGCGGGAGGATAATGTGTAGTTGGTGTTTCCCCCAACAAAGGGCAATGCATACAGATCTTCCTGCCCCTCCAACGGGGTTACATCACCAAACACTCATCGTGAATTGAAAATACTGTTTAAGTCGAAAACGTATTTAAAACATCTAACCTGATGAACATCGTAGGTTAGCTTAGCCTTAAACAGGTTCAGAATGTTTTCATCCGTGTACAGTTGGGCAACACCATCAAACACGAAGTCTACTTTATAGCAAAGTTTGAACATCTCATGTAATTTGTTAAATACTGTTGATGGTGATCAGCCCTGGTGATTGTGTGGCCGACTGGGAGCTTATGGCTCGCTGCCACTGCCCAGCATCAGGGGACGATTGTACCACCTGTTGCTAGCTTGGGAAAAGTTAACAGATTCAAAACTCAAATTATGGTTTCTGTTAAATGTGTGTCATTTTAAAACCATCATAGAGTTGAAAAATTCTAAGTTGAGCCACTTAACTCAAAAAGCGTCTGTAGAGGAGTTCTAGGATTGTGGTTTGAAAGGGACTGTTCGTGCTGCTCTATCCCAAGGGCAGACTAAGGACCTGCAGGGGTTTTGGATGCCCGGGTTTGGTTTTAGGATCCAGATTTCCTGGTTGCTTGTCTCTTCTTCCTCACCCTGCCCCTTGCATCTGTTGGTCCTGCATCAGGGTCTGGCCAGCCCAGTTGTAGGCGTTGTGCCCCATACACAGTGTGTATTGTAACCTTGCATTTGGGCCTGTTTTCCCAACAGAACGATGGCCGGCTGAGGTTGAGCCGCCAGGGTATCATTTTCAAGAATAGTAAGACGGGCAAAGTGGACAATATCCAGGCCGGCGAGTTGACTGAAGGCATCTGGCGCCGTGTCGCCCTGGGCCACGGACTTAAACTGCTTACGAAGAATGGCCATGTCTACAAGTATGACGGCTTCCGAGAATCGGTGAGGTGTCCTGTGGCCATAAACCTCCTTTTACTGTGCCACCTTGTGTCGTATTCTAGAAAGAGTTGGGGCTCTTTTGATAAGCATGTAATTGCTAGTTTTGGCCCCTCAGAGCAGGGCCATTATGGCCATTAAGCAGTGTTCAGCCTTGGGTGTCTTGTGCTTTGACTCCAGAAGGTTTTCTACCATTGTCATTTTTTTGGTGGTTTCTGCTCATTGCCTTTGTCCAGATTCAGAATCTTAGTCTTTTAGTTTGAGGTTTGTTTTTCTGTTTTGAACTGTTTGAGATAAATGCTTTACTGCATGTTAATTTCCCTTTCATTAAAGCGTTGCCTGTATAAAGTCAGAGAGCCTGGGGAGGCCCATGACCAGGAGATGACCATACTTTAAGCCTCCCCAACTCTGAGATCCAGCCCCTGGCCATAGCTTCTTTCAACAGCTGGGTTTCTGATAGAAGGTAGATTGAGGGCAGTTTCTCAGAGAGAATCCCAGAATGTTTGTGTTAAGGCCACAAGGATTTGTAGGGACTTCTGTCTCCCCTCTGCCCACAGGAGTTTGAGAAACTCTCGGATTTCTTCAAAACTCACTATCGCCTTGAGCTGATGGAGAAGGACCTCTGTGTGAAGGGCTGGAACTGGGGAACGGTGAAGTTTGGTGGTGAGTCTGGGGAAGACTGAGGTTTGGAGAAGAAGGTAGGATTATGGGTTGCAGCCTTTACCTTGTTTTGCTCGTTTTCTGCTACTCTTTCTGATTTCCTATCAGTTTGTAATTCATCATAAATTTATTGAGGACCAATAGTGTATAAAGCACTGTGCCTGGTCTTGGGGGTACAGTGCGGCCAAATAGTTCAGTGCTCTGTCCTTGGGTGTCTGGCTTGGCTGTTGTTTATGCAGACTTGAGGGGAGGAGCTTGTGGTTGATAAGCCCTTTCCTCTCAGGGCAGCTGCTTTCCTTTGACATTGGTGACCAGCCTGTCTTTGAGATACCCCTCAGCAATGTGTCCCAGTGTACCACCGGCAAGAACGAGGTGACACTGGAATTCCACCAGAACGATGATGCAGAGGTGTCCCTCATGGAGGTGCGCTTCTATGTGCCGCCCACTCAGGAGGATGGTGTGGACCCTGTTGAGGTGAGGCCTCCCCTGGTCTCCTTGAGAGCAGATGGTGCTGAGCAGGCCCTGGCTTGCCTGGAAGCAGGATCCCTGCTGCCTGATCACCAGCGTGTACTTTTGCAGGCCTTTGCCCAGAATGTGCTGTCTAAGGCGGATGTGATCCAGGCTACTGGAGACGCCATCTGCATCTTCCGGGAGCTGCAGTGTCTGACTCCCCGAGGCCGTTATGACATTCGGATCTACCCCACCTTTCTGCACCTTCACGGCAAGACCTTTGACTACAAGATCCCCTATACCACGGTGCTGCGTCTCTTTCTGCTTCCCCACAAAGACCAGCG